ACTATAGAAAAAAGTTCCTTTATTGCTGTTTGTGGTATATTAAAACTAACCGCCCACTTTCTTAAATCAGTATGAAACTTTTCATGTTTGTTAATTTTATGTGGCTGAAATTCCTCTTCATCATCCAATTCTGTACAATTACTTACGGTAATTTCTTCACATGTACTACATTTTTTAGAATTACTTGAAATTGACCCATGCAAGTTAAAACTCATCTGTTAATTTTCCACTCTTTTTTTTATTAGATTTTAAAGATTCCACTCCTAAATCGGCATTTTTTATTTTCACAAAATTTTGGTTTACCTTTCTTTTAAAATTTTTAAACTTTTAACCAGTTTGTATTACTCATTTTTTCAATATCTTTTAACACACCATGGATGAAAAAATCAAAATTTAAGGTTATGTCCCAACTGGACTTAAATTTAAAACTATAATAATTATTATATAAAGGAAACTAAAAGTACTTGACGTTTTATAAAAACAACTTAAAGAAATCTTCGAAGAAGTGTTAAGTTTTATATAACGGTTTCTAAAATCAATTGAATTAACAAAATAGTGTGAATAATTTCCTTTATAAAACCCGGTGCAACAAGTTTTATAAACAAATTTACAAAACAGTTATATAACCTGTTTATAATACTTGAGGTGCTTAGAACTAAAGTTTTTGTAAGAAAGGTAATGAACAGTATTCCGCAACCATGTTATAAAACTTTTGGGGATAAGTAATCGATATGACCACTTTAAAACCCGAATCCCTGTGGGTTATTTGTTTTACTATTATAAACCTTTTATATAAATAATGAGAACTTTAGGTAATTAAAAATGTTACTTGGGATATACACATATTCATAGAAGTGTGTGGTCGCCGTTAAATAAACTACTAAACAGAAGGTACCCTAACTTAATATTAAAAAATACCCAATTAAACTCGGTTATGAAAACCAAAAGTCTTCAAAGTAATAATAATTATGCTTTAAAATTATTAAGCACATAGAATTGTAAACAAAAGCGACCTACGTAGCCAAAATTTAATAAAAACCTGGCACATACACCGGTAAACATTTAATTTAAAAAATAAAGGAGTTCATACACGTACTTGAAAATGTATTACAATTGATTATAAAATATAATATAATAGTGACAAACAGAAGGCTTTCTTGACCGAATTCATTTCTAACTTAAATGTTAAAGTGAAGAGATAAAAACTGAATTAAAAAAAGAAATAAAAAGTGTAAAAACTTAAAAACAACCGTAGAAGGCTTTGAAAAACGTATATCAGAACTAGAACATCAAAACACTGCATTACACCAAACTAATTTAGCTCTTCAAAGGAGATTAAGAAAAAATAACCTGGTTATATTTGGATTAACTACCAAAGGGTATAGTTTAATTGAACAAATTATATTGGGAGTTCAATTAGACAGTGCTCTAAAATTTGATCACCATGAGGATTACATATGTAAGAAGATTAGGAGAAGTGTATTTGTCCTGCGTGGACTATATGAATCTGTATCTGTGGATGTCCTAAAAAATGCTTACTTCGTCCTTATTCACTCTATTCTTACATACGCCATATTAATATGGAGACACTCCTCGCATGCTGATAGAGCATTTGCGCTTCAAAAAAGAGCAGTAAGGATACTGACAGGACTACCCTATCGAGCAGACTGTAAAACAGCTTTTAAAAACATAAAAATATTAACTTTACCATCAGTTTTTATATTAGATACCCTGCTATACATAAACAATAATGAAAAGGATTACATCACGATGTCGGGTATCCAACCAGTTGTTGATAATATGGCTGTGATGCGTGGCTTGTTTAAGGAGTTGCTTGAGCAGCAAGGTCGGATGTTGCTTGATCAGCAGCGTCGATTAGACAGGAGTCACGCCTAGCTGTGGGAGAGTGCATGGAGGAAATCGCTAGGACGCCATCTAGCCAAAGGTATGACAAGTCCTCAAGCAACTATCGAGGTGGAGTTATAAGCTTGGAACAGGAGCTGGTGATGCCGTTTAACCCTAAAAACAAGGGCACCAATGTGGAGAGGTGGCTCGAGAGAGTTTAGGAGTTAGCTGAAGCTAATGCGTGGACTGACAAGGAGCAGTTGCTAATCGCGCAGGCCAAATTGGAGGGGGCTGCTTGTGCATGATATAATGGTGTCCGAGCTCTGAGAACATGGGAGGAATTTTCAGGAGGGTTGACAGCTGAATTTCCAAGGAGAGCTAATTTTGCGGACACCCTTAAGCAAATGGTGCTTAGAGTTAAGAAAAATGGAGAGAGTTTGACTAACTATTATCATCGGAAGTTGGAGATGATGCGTAGAGTGGACCTGCATCAGGGGGAGCGTGCAGTTTCGCTGCTTATTCAGGGCTTGCCGGAGGATCTCACAATTGAAGCTTTGGCGTCCAACTGCAAGACCCCTGAAGCCTTGTATACGAGGTTTTTTACTTCGATGCAATCAGGACAAGAATCCCGCAAAGAGCAAACATTGGAGAAGAGAATTGGAGCCTCTAGCAGCGTTGCTATAATTGTCAGGATATGGGGAACCATCTAAGCAAGGATTGTCCTCGCCCACATGTGGAGAGATGTATTCGGTGTGGTGAGGGCACCGAGCACGTGACTGCCCTCTTGAACCATTCCCGGGCCGACAAGGAGGATCGTCTGGAGGAAGTCAGGAGGGAGCCACAGAACGAAACACTATGTGAGTCTTTTGATTAATCCTATAGATTCTATTTTTAGGGCGCTTGGTTATGTTGGAAAAGTTAGTGCTCGATGCTACATTGACACAGAAGCAGAGGTTTGGTATCCGCTGCTTTTGTGGAGAAAATTGGAGCTTCAATTAAGCCATTGAGAGAAGATGTAACTCAAAGGTTTTGGAGGTGGAGAAACAATGGCGCTAGGTAGGTGTTTGGTTATACTTACGATAAGTGGCGCATCGAGATATTGCTCGGGACTGAGGCTATCACTCAGCCTAGCCTGGTCAGACAGGGCAAGGCCATGTTTTTGGAGAAGGAGAGTCCCAACAAATGAATGTGTGATTCGGCTAGCAGAAGAGCTATGTTGCGAATCATTTGCGTCTGAGATGGTCAAGGTCGACGTGAGTGGTAACCAAGGTGGCGATTTTGTTATGGTGGACAAAGTTGTAACCACTGAACACGGCTACCTTATGATACATGGCCAAATTCTGAAGCTGGGAATGGAGAACCAGTTGCTGTAGGTGACCAATCTCACAAAAAAGGAGATTCATTAAAGAAAGGGGCATGTCTTGTTTCGATTGCAGTTAGGAGGCGAGAAGGAGGCCAAGGCTGGAGAGAAAAAGACCAAAACTACACAGGTGAATATTATTAGTTTGAGTGATAAAATTGGGCAAGTAAAAATGGGGGATGTGTTTGATTTTGTGTAAGAATGAACTAATGACAATATTGAAAAATAGGCATGTTTTTCTAAAAATTCTGTTGATGTAGGTTTCACAACGATAGGTAAAATGGAGATTAAAACAATAACCGATGTACCGATATTTCACAGACCCTATCGATTGTCACACTCAGAGCGGAGTTTGGTGGGAGAAAAAATACAAACACTTAAGGAGGCTGGTGTTATCCGAGATTCAGAGTCCAATTACGCTAGTCCAGTGGTGTTAATACCAAAGAAGACAGGAGATGTGCGCATGTGCGTAGATTATCTTGATTTTAAATAAATAAATAAATAATTCGTTTATTAATGCAATAAGGTAAAGGACAGGCACCTATTGCCGTTGATTGAAGACCAATTGGAGAAATTGAGTGGCAAAGGTATTTACGACCCTGGACATGGTTCAAGGGTACCATCAGATGGCAATGCATAAGAATTCGGTGGCAAAAACAGCATTTATAACACCGGATGGTCACTACGAGTATTTGAGGGTTCCATTTGGTCTGGCCAACTCCCCAGCTGTATTTTATCGTATGGTGGACCGAATGTTAGGTGAATTAAGACACAAGGAAGTGCTAGCATACATGGATGATATCTTAATACCTTCACATGGAGAACAAGATGGTCTTAAGTTGTTTAACGACGTGTTAAAGCTAATTGAAGAGGCTGGTCTGAAGCTGAGATTGGAGAAATATTCCTTTATGCAGAATGACATTGAGTATTTGAAACATAAAGTATGTGGTGAAGGCATAAAGCCTGAAAAACGAAAAATACAAGCTGTTCTTGATTTTCCTTGTCCGCAAATGTACAAACGGTAAGACAATTCGTTGGATTGGCATCCTACTACAGGAAATTTATCGAGGGATTTTCTGTGATTGCCAAACCGTGGCCGGTCTAACAAAAAAGGATGTCACGTGGAAATGGGGAGAAGAGGAACAAGGTGCATATGAAAAACTAAAGGAGTTGCTAAGTCAAAGATTAGTTATAGCTATATATAATACTTAAGCCGAAACCCAGGTGCATACTGAAGCCAACAAACATGAACTTGGTGACATTTTGAAGCAACAAGTTGGAGGTCTCCAGTAGCATATTTTAGCAGATGTACTACCACTACTGAGCAGATGTATAACAGCTACGAATTGGAGACTTTAGCTGTCGTGGAGTCAGTGAGGAGATTTCGAACATATTTGGTGGAAATTTACTTCAAAATAATTACTGATTGTGTTGCCATAATATCAAATCTGTTGAAACGAGATTTGGTGCCTCGAATTGCTAAATGGTGGTTGGCAATAATAGAGTATGATATGGAGGTTGAGTTTCGAGCTGGAACAAAAATGCAACACGTGGACGCTTTGAGCAGAAATCCACTTGAATTAAAGCGTTGTATTAAAATAAATTTGGTTACCATGAATGAAACTGACTGTCGACTGACTGTTGAAATGTCTAATATGTAAGTGTTTTAGTTGGTATTTTATATAGTTTATCACAGTACACTAATATAGTCGATGGTAGTTTATGAACATTGAACTAAATAATAATTATTATTTATGTTTGTATAGTTCTTTTATGTTTTGTAGTATTAGTTAAGATGTATAAAGTAAGCAAATCCACAAAAAATCGGGCTTTGAGGAAAAAGGTGGATACATTTCTTCAAAACCTTAAACCGAGCCTTAAACAATCAGAAAATCAAAGTCATAGTTCTGATACAAATGCCAATGACTCAAAAAATGCTAATCTTAGACCAAATACCTCTTTTAAGCTTTGCTCTTATGATATTGGTAACATACAAATTGAAACTCCCGTAGCCCAAGTACAAAGTATCCAAGAGACTCTTCAAGTTTTAGGACCAACATTTTCTGAGCCCCTTCACAATAATTATTTGACTAACAATCCCTCAAGCTCTTCAAATTTCTCTCTTGTGGAAAGTAAAGTTAATACCAAGACCAAAGACAGTAAATTTTTTTTAGCCAACTGGTCGATTAAGCATAACATTTCACATACTGCATTATCTGACCTGTTAAAATGGCTGCATACTAATCCCAACATTTCAAATTTACCATTAGATGCTCGTACTCTGCTAGAGACAAAAAGGTCAATTATCCTAATGAATATGGGTAAAGAACATTTTTTTTACTTTGGCATTACAGAGAGTCTCAAGCAACTTGGTGAATCTGAGCATACTCATAACTACACTAAATTTGCTTTGCAATTTAACATTGATGGTTTACCCCTCTATAAAAGCAGTAATCTGCAGTTTTGGCCAATTCTATGTAATGTAAAGAGTTTATTCAAAATTTTTCCTGTAGCTATTTATTGTGGAAAAACCAAACCACCATTACAAGAATTTTTTGCAAATTTTATTGCTGAGATGTCACAGCTTATAATTGAAGGACTAGTAATAAATTCAAAGAAATACACTATTGAAATTCACAGTTTCTGTTGTGACACTCCAGCACGAAATTATGTAAAAAATACTATGGGTCATAATAGTCGATATGGTTGTGACAAATGTTGTTTTTTGGGTAAATTTCTAGTGTATGACTTTTCCAGTTTTAAATTCAGTTTTACGTACTAATGAGGGATTTAGAAATTATGAATATGGAGAATATCATAAAGGAACTACACCTTTAATATATTTACCAATGGACGTAATTGCTGTTTTTCCAGTTGATTACATGCATTCTGTGTGCTTGGGGGCTGTTCGGAAAATCTTGTTTCTTTGGGGAGACTCTGGAAGGGAGCATAACATAACAAAGGTTAAAATAAGTCAAATAAATCAAAGAATTTTTGATATTTCAAAGCAATGGCCCTTTGATTTCGCCAGAAAACCAAGATCACTTAAAGATTTGAAACATTGGAAAGCCACAGAATTCAGGCAGTTTTTATTATATGTGGCTCCCATAGTCCTTACCAATCAGATACCAAAAAAAATATTGGGACATTTTCTTCTCTTGGTATATGCAATAACAATTTTAATGGATGAGGACTTGAATAAAAAATATAACGATTATGCTAAGACTTTACTAATAAACTTTGTCCAGTATTCTAAAACACTATATGGCCAAAGATTTGTTACTTATAACACTCATTCTCTAATACATCTTGCAGATGAAGCTAAAACTTTTGGATCTTTGAATGAAATAAATTGTTTTTGGGCTGAAAATAAACTTTTCACGATAAAAAAAATGTTAAGAAAGGGAAATCAGCCCTTGCAGCAAGTGTGCCATAGACTTAAAGAAAATAAAAAATTAAAAAACAAAATAGGGTGCACAACTCTCAACTGTCTTTTTTATAATCGACTTTATTATAGAAAAACTAAATTTTCATCAGCAACTCCTGACAATATTATACAATTAAAAGATAAAAAAATTATCAAAATATTATATTTTGCTCAGAAAGGATTAGAAATATTTGTCATTGGAGAACATCTTAAACCTTTGGAGTGTTTGCACAATTACCCTATGGAAACTGAAACTGAAATTATTTTTCCATTTATATCTATCGGTTTTAGAGTGTCAAAGAGTATGCGCAAAGGGATTGTAATACTATTTCAAGAAAAACATGTTTTTATTCCATTAGTACATGCAATAAACTAGCCAAATTTTTTTTTAATTACTGGCAATGGTACAGGGTCATTTTACATATTTTCAGAAATCTTTGTCAAACCAAACACACAGGGTGATTCGTTAAGGATCACCCTGCATACTATCGCAGCTTTGAATTCTACCTAAAATAAAATACTAAAAAAATTAAAAGCACATGACATACTTTGATTTAATAGTTTTTAAGATATTTAAGGATAAAAAATAACATATTTGCATATTTGAGAAGCTCTGAGATCCAAATCGCATTGAAAGAAAGATTGAAAAAAAATCGGCTTACACTTTTTTATCTTAACTGAAGCTGTAGCTGCAACTTCACAACGCAGAAAATTCCGAAAAATTTCCCACAATTTCCTGCGAGTAATTTTTTTAGAATTTTAGATTTAAAGCTGTGATAATTTACATGGTGATCCATTTATAAAAGTATATGTTTGGTTTGACACAGATGAAGCACCCTGTATATAAAAAATAATATACACTACATGTTTCATATGTAATTTTTTTATGTACGGTGACACAAAAAAGTTATGGGGGGGGAAATATACTTGAAGTTCCTGATGTACAGGGTGTCCCAGATTCGAGGCGTATCATTGGGATCTCGGAAACTATAAAAGATACAGAGTCAGTCAAATGAAGGCAAAGTTGCACAAGCAAAATGCCGTTTTGAAATTTGAAAAATTTTGAATACTTCCGGAGATATTTGGAAAAAACCGAATTTTGGCGATTTTGTTTTTATTTTTTTTAACTTTATTTGACGAGATATTTTAAAATAAATCTGACTTCATCATTGCCACTTTGTCTCGTCTATAACATGGCCTTATAAAGCCATTATCAGCCTATTTTTTTTAAATACGGATTTGGATTTATTACTTTGGATTTTAATGGCTTGTGATGACCTTAAACTTATGGTATATCGCAATTATTCCAAATTTCATTTTTTGTCAATAAAAGGCAGTGTTGTTTTTTTTTGGTCTTGCTGCAATAAAGCAAATAGGTATAGAAAATTTAAAACAAGTAATAATCCTTGTCACTTTTGTTTTTAGTTTATCTTAGCTACTTTTTTTATTTAGTGTTCTAATGTCAAAATTAATGTACTGGTTATTTGGTATCTGAGGCATCTAAAAAAAACTAAAAATGGTGTCGAAACTGTATCTTGAAATAAAAGAATTTAGTTTTAAGGAAGGGTTCTGGTAAATTTTAGCTTCTATATTGTGGAATTTCCACAAGAAGAAGTAAATGGAAGCTGCCCAATGGCCATTGTTTCCAAAAGATCGGTATTCAAGGATGACGAAATTGATTATTGCTGGTGGCCAAATTTTAAAACTGACAGGGCTAGGGAACATGCTGTCAAAAATCATGATTTGGTTGGTCCGGAAAATGGCAGTATGTACCAAATAAAATATAAATACGAAATAGGTGAGTATTCCGCAATCATTCATTTTTTTATTGTGTTTTCTTGAAATTTTTTGGAGATAACGGGCTTAATATGCTATAGATACCTTAATTAATTTCAAATTTTATTATCAATTACTAATTTTTTATGATTATATATTCAATTCTTTATGCTATGCTATTATTGCATTAATTAATTTTGTTATTTTATTTTATTTGTGCCATTTTGCTGATATTGTATGTAAAACAAAATCATGCAATAAAAATAATTATTACAAAATAAATGCATTTTTAGATAATTATGAAAAAGCTCACCGGAAGCTCAGGCAGTTAGAAACCACTTCAGACGTGGAAAGTGAAATTGAAGCAAAAAGGAAACCTCAAACCCAAACTTTTAGGGACTTTGTGATGGTCTCAGAGAACTCGTCAAGTAGTGATGATCTCCCAATTATAAATCTGCCACAAAATACGGCAGCTTCTACGCCGTTATCAAATATTGAAATTATCACTGTCGAAGCAAACCCCAACCCTGACAACCTGTCCCAAAGACAACAAAAAATAAAACAGTTGAAGAAAGGAGAACCACAGCAATCAGAAAATGGACAGAGATCATCAGAGTGTACAAACTGTCAAGATTTACATAGTAAAGTTATATTCATTTTGGTCCTTTTTTATCAACTTAAATTTTAAAATTGTAGAGTTGGTGACCGAGTTATATAGAAACCAAGTTAAATCTAATCAAGACATAAATGATAGACTTGATTACATCACTGGGCTTCTTCAGAGGGAAACTGGAGGCCCAATTGCTGATTTAAATAATAAAGTAGTTAATTTGCCCATAAACACAATGGAACAACTACAAAATTTGGAGGATCAACTTAAAAATGAAAATGAATATAAAAAGTATGTAAGTATCTTTAAAAAATGTATTGGTTCGGGTCTGGATGGCTTTCATATTTTTGTATTTGAAAATATTTGAATTTTTAGTTGAACGTGCTTAACCGCATAGGGGGCAAAAACTGCACTGACGCCACAAGAAGGGTTGTTTCAAAGCTAGTTGGCCATGACTTAGCCCTACAATGCAATTGGACTGGCAGAAACAATAAACCACCCTTCAATGCCCACAAAAATGTGGTTAAACTTATTGAAGGTTGAATGTTTTTTTAGGAAAATAAGTATACATGCTGTTCTGAAATAAAATACCAAAGTATATGGTCTCAGAGAACAGTATGGTCTCAGAGAAGTAAACATGCTGTTTTGAATTAAAATACCAAAGTGTAAAAAAGGTGGTTTAATTCTGTGAATACTTGTGTTCATAGTAACGCAACAACATAACAAAACTGCCTTCTACTCAGTCGGAAAATGTCATTTTTATCGACTTTTTGTAGAAGAAATGCTTTTTAAAGCAGTAGTAACTTAACTATTTCATATTTTTTAGACTCTATTATAGAGAGCACTATAAAATCATGGCTTAGAGGTGCATGTGATCGAGACGGTGGGCGCACAAACCGAAAAAAAAATTGAGTTACTTACATATTTTATATTGTTACATATTACATATTTTTTTGTTATTTTTTCGAATACAAATTTTATTTGGATTTCTATATTTTTTATGTTATTTGAATATGTAATAAGTAGGTACATATGATTTTATTTTTAAATATTATGTATATCAATTTATCTTGATAACATTTTAATTCACTCTAACTTTTTTGTTTTTAAAGATATCAAGGCAAACAAAAAAAACAAAATGTATGGTTGATAGTCAAGTTTTTTTTTAAAGTTACAAAGAAAACACCATTTAACACCCTGTATATTTTTACTTTAAAATAAAAGATCTTTTCTTTCTGATTTTAAATATACCATATAAGTTGATATTGGTCCAGCCGTTTTTGCGTAATTTCAATTTAAAGTTGTATTGAAATACCCTAAAAATACGAAATTATAAAATTGTTTCACTATCAAAGTAATGGGGATATTTGGTTTAGACGTTTCCCGCTATTTAAGTTTATAGTCTGTATTATATTATTACTTTTATGAAAAGTTGCTTATTATTTTGTTAGTTTAGGATATTTGAATACAACTTTGGATTGAAATTAGCAAAAACGACTGGACCAAATATCAACTTGTATAGTATATTTAAAATCAAAAAGAAATTATCTTTTATTTTAAGTAAAAATATACAGGACGTTACATTTAAAAAAATAAAATGTAGGCTTATATGTCAAAAAATTATTATTTTATTATCTATGTAACTTCGAAAAAAATTTGGCTATCAATCATACATTTTGTTTTTTTGTTTGCCTTGATATTTTTAAAAACAAAAAAGTTACAGGGAATTAAAATGTTATCAAGATAAATTGAACCCACGGTACAGGGTGTCCTACGTAAAAGTACATTTTTAAGTAGCTTTTCCTTAAAACTTAAGTTCAATGTAACTTAAATTTAATTTTGGTAGCCTTAGAATAAAGTACTTAAACTTACTTTTAAACAATATACCTTTAAAAATAACAAAGATAGGGGTGGAACTGCTACGTGAGACACCCTGTATATTTGTATGTGAAATGTAGGAAGTAGTATCTATCATAATTATTTGTAACATGTTGGTTTTACAGAGAGTTTCTGACTGTATAAGCTGTGGTAATACTAATGTAAAATTTGTTGCAATTTTTCTAGATATTTAGTTTTAACAATTATTGGCAAATAATAATTTATTTTGGTCAAATAAGTCAACATTTTATTGCAAATGTAATTGCAATTTTTTAAGTATGCTTTGTTTAAGGGAAAGATCGCTTTATCAGTACCTAATGATTAGGTTTCTAACAAACTTTACTGCTTGAAAATGTTTATATGTGGGCCTTTAACCTTATGCAGAACATACCTGGGAATGATATAATAAGATTTCTATACTGACGACTGAACAAGGCCCTAAAAAAAGTAATGAGTATAGATCAGGAAGCCCGAAGGGCTTTTTATGCTCCTTGGTATAAATAGACTTATTAAAAAAAAATACATACAGTGATTTTCACTATCCAGGAATAGCTTTTCCAAATTGATTGCATGAACTACAGTTGTAGTGAAGGGCTTCGAATATCTACCTAATTATCTATCATCCAAAAGGTGTTTTAAAATTTGCCAACAATTGTTGATGTAAATGGCTATGGCTATCAATTTTCAAAATCATTTTAAATAAACTTTCTAGGTACTTGGCAAAGTATTAGAAAAATCTCTGCTTCAGTAAAAAAAGTAGTACAAGCTATAGTTCTTTTTAATTTGTGAAGTAAACTCATGAGTGATTTTGTACCAAAAATAGCAAACAAATAGATATTTGTACTAGACAGATATAGGTTCCTAATTAAAAGCAGGGTTTTTAAAATAGGTAGTAAATTTATAAAAATAAATTTATTACAGTTAACACTAAGCAATAATAATTATAGGCATAAGTAAATCAAACAAAAATTTAAAATAATGTTAAAACATTTGGTTTTTTTTCTATTTAATTATTATTTTGTAATACATGTGTTTTAATGATTTTTTATGTATTTTATTTATTAACCAGCAATCCGCCCCATTAAAGGCAAACTAAAGTTTCCCTTCATAGTAAATCTAATGGCTTAATATAGGCAAGCCATCATTTAGCCTGTAGAATAAATGTAATGGCTTGATTCAGCTAAGCCGTCATTCGCCCTACATAATAAATGTAATGGCTTAATATAGGCAAGCCATCATTTACCCTTGATGGTAAATTATCTGTTGGCCGCATGACGGCGCGTTTTACCAATAATGGCAGCCGACAAAGTACCTTTACAGGACTTTATTTATGCCAATACCCTAAATGCATTTTACCATTGAAGTGTGTTTGCTGGGTATTCTATTTAAAATGAAGATTTTTTTGTTTATAAAATTTTATATTGCAGCTGAAGTATGTAAACAAAGATGGATTGTTCTAAGAAACAAGTACACAAAATTAAAACAGCAAATAAAAGCAACCCCTATATCAATTTGATGGGGTTTTTAGATTTATTTTTAACCACTAGTTCTCTGATTTTAAAATAATTTTTTTTTACAGGTTCTTTGGAACAAATGAATAGATAGAATATATTTTTTTATTTTTATGACCCCTAGTTTAGAAGTTACAAGGGGTTGAAATTTCGCGAAAAAGCCCAAAAATCGAAAACACGGCCTCGTTCAACTGCCTATATCTCCGGTTCTATTCAACCTACAGACTTCATCAAAAATGCATTTTGTAGCTCTTGGAAGACACTTTCATGATATATATATTTAATTCCAAGATAATCGACTATTGCATTTGTTATAAACAACGCACTGTTTGGCGCGCTTCGGGGTGATTCAACCTCAGGTTATGATAGGCAAGCAATTTAATACACATTCTTACATGATTGAATGACGATTGTACATGCTCGAATAAACTTCACGATTGATTACTATAGTACAAAATTCGTTTGAAATAGGTTTACGAAATTAGGTCGAAGATATCTTCTATTTTCAGAAGAGGGATTATAGGATTATCATCTTTTTGGTGCGGGACAGGAAGAAAACATTGGCTTGGTTTTTGAAGGGAAAAAGAATTATAGGATTATATTCGGAAGAATTTGTACGTTATCTATTTTTGTGATATATTCAGGTAACTTCTCCATGGTATATTAGGTGCTGTAGATACACAATTCAGGTCAGTATCGTTCCAAAGTGTGTTCGACTAACATCTGGTGTTTGGTTTCAAAGTTTTGTATTGCAAGTTTTCATAGTGTTTTGCTTCATTATGATGAGTAATCTACATCACCAGTGTTTCAACCCGTTTAAGTTAGAGAAACACCGGTACCATAGAAAATGTGAACGCAAATTGAGAAATGTAAATCCGTCGCTGCTAAAAAAATTTAGACCGGAAAATCAACCTCCATCAGCGGAATCGAAAATTTGTGACACATGCCGACTGAAACTGGTCAAAATGCCCAATCTAAGTGAAGAAAGCTCTGTCGAGGCCCTTGTTTCTAAGTAAATGTTTATATATTATTATATTATTGGAGTGATTTTAATAAACAATTGTCTTAGCACCAAAACCACCGTATTATTCACACTTTCTACAATCCCTCGACAAAACCTTTTTTTCTAGAACTACAGCAGTTAATAATTTTATACATGTATACATAATAGTTTTAGTCATATGATTTACTTGATTTTACTTTTAAATTTAATAAACAAGTACAGTCCAACCTTTTTTATTCTTAACCACAAATAATAATTTGGTTTTGCTGCCAATATAACAGAAATAATTGCCAACTAATCTCCCAAATTTTTGACGTTGTCAAATTTAGAATAAAAAAAACAAACTCTATGTTATAGAGTATAGATATATCTATACTCTATAACTCGAAGTTTAAAAGATATACTCCGTATGTCGAAGTAGGTAATGATATCAGTTTAAAATTTTCCCAAGCAATAAAGCTAAGAAAAGTTTTATTTTTTTTTATTGGTCATTAAACTTTTTGTGTACCTTATGTTAATTAACCTTACCTTACATTTAAATTTTTTTACAGGTGCATTCATTAAATTTTTTATTTACCTTATTTCGTTATTTTACCTTCTCTCTTTGTTTATATTTATGATTTTAACTAAGCACATATCTATATTTATTATCCTATGTTCCTTAACTCAAAATAAGGTGATTGGTTATTTCTAGACTTTTACATATATGTATATGTATATTAGGGTGGGCCAAAAAAAACTTTTAATTTTTTTTTCTTTAGTTACCATGAAAAAATCGTGCAAGATGACGAAAAAAAAATTCTGATAAAGTTTGAGCTCTTAATATTAATATTAAGAGGTGGCTCATCGCGACTTTTTATTTTCCATTTAAATAACACGGGAAAAAAACATTTTTTTTGTTTGTAATTTTATTGCCTTTTAACGAATCAGTAAGTTGTAGAAATCAACACACAATCTGGTAGGGAATTGAACGATCTACAAAAAAGATCTGATATGATTTTTTGCCTTGTCAACTCGTTTAAAAGTTATTTGAGGTTAAAGTTTAACCTCAAAAATATGAAAAATCATATTTTTCGTGAAATTTATCGAGTGTCCTTCGGTAAAACAATATAATTTTTACGAAATATCAATAATCGTAAAAAACGTTTTTTTTCTATACTTGATTTTTTTTAAAAATCGATTTTTTTTTACATAAGTAATGACAAAGAAAATTAATCATTTTCTCAAAAAATAATAAATATTGTATTTACACTTGACTATTAGGTAATAAAAGCCATGTTTCAATAATTTATCAATTAAAATAAACATTTTTATTTTAATTGAAAAATTATTGAAACATGACTTTTATTACTCTACATTACCTAATAGTCAAGTGTAAATAGAATATTTATTATTTTTTAATGATTATTTCCCTAATTATAATATGAACCAATCAAAAGCCTTGAATTTTCAAATAAATTTCGTTTAAATAAGCGATTAAATCACTAGAACTATTTAACAGCGATTAAATTTTAGCCTCCATATTGGATTTTTGTTTACGATTTTATGGTGTTATTTACAAGTTTTAACAAACATTTTTTAAAAAACAATAAAAAATAAGTTATCTAATTTACGAAATATCAATTATTACTTATTACATACCTTAAATTAATGGAAATAATCTAGACGTATATCACTTAACATATAAATTTAATCTGTCAAACTATGCTCAGTAAGTTTTTTATTTGATTCTTCTTTTTGGAAAATAGTTTCATGCAAAATATTTAAAAATAAAACCCCTCGACCGCTACGCGGTCTCGTGATTTTATTAAATTATTTTGCATTCAACATTTTCCAAGAAAAACCAAACAATGCCTAGTTTAACCGATTAAATTCATAGTTTTCGTGATATAATATATGATTAATTTTTTTGTCTCAGGTAAAGAAAAAATTTCGAATTAAAAAAAAATTAAATATAGGAAAAAAACGTTTTTTTCACGGTTATTGATATTTCGTAAAAATTGTATTGTTTTACCGAAGAACACTCGATAAACTTCACGAAAAATATGATATTTCATGTTTTTGAGACAATATTTCGTGATAGAGTATGAAAAACTATAAAACGGCCATTTCAAGCGCGCGAAACGCACAAATTACAAAAATGTTTTTATAAAAAAAATTATTATTTATATTTTTTATTATATAATATTTTGGCATCAAAATTGTCAAAAATATTCTTCTTTTATTAGGTTATACATTAAATAAAAAAAAAACGCAAGAAATATTTTATGAAAGTAGATATAATTTTAATAATTGAAAGGTGTGGACGGGACAAAAAAAAGATTTATCTTGTCCCGTCCATCCCTGTCAATTATTGAAATTATCTCTACTTTTATAAAATATTTCTTGGGTTTTTTTAAATTTAATGTATAGCCTAATAATAGAAGAATATATATGACAATTTTGATGCAAAAATAATATATAATAAATTACTTACAATTTTTTTTATAAAAACAGTTTTGTGATTTGTCCCGTCCATCCGCTTGAAATGGCCGAAAAGTCATCATTTACTATTTGAAGTTGAACTTTAACCTCAAATAACTTTTAAAAGAGTCGACTATGCAAAAAATCATATGAGATCTTTGTTGTAGATCGTTCAATTCCCTACAAGAATAGTTATTGATTTCTACAACTCACTGATTCGTTAAAACGCAATAAAATTCCAAACAAAAAAATGTATTTTTCCCGTGTTATTTAAATGGAAAATAAAAAATCGCGATGAGCCATATTGATATTAAGAGCTAAAACTTTATCAGTATTTTTTTTTCGTCATCTTGGACGATATTTTCATGGTAGCTAAATAAAAGAAAATTAAAAGTTTTTTTTGGCCCACCCTAATGTATATATACATTAGGCGTCCCATACTCTCAATTTGCCCAAGGGCGTAAGGTTACGCCGCGCGCCGCGTCACAGGCCGTGTCGCTGTTTTGACCCAGTTCTTATCAATCCTCCAAGCTATAATTTTGGGTTTTTATAGAGAATCGATCAAGGAATACGATGATAATTTTTTCAAAATTTAAAAAAGTGACAATTGTCTCGAAAATCACGTTTGAATAATAAAATTGTTTATAACAAATGCAATAGTAGATTATCTTGGAATTAAATATATATGTCATGAAAGTGTCTTCCAAGAGCTACAAAATGCATTTTTGATGAAGTCTGTAGGTTGAATAGAACCGGAGATATAGGCAGTTGAAGGAGGCCGTGTTTTCGATTTTTGGGCTTTTTTGCAAAATTTCAACCCCTTGTAACTTCTAAACTAGGGGTGATAAAAATAAAAAAAAATGTTCTATCTATTCATTTGTTCCAAAGAACCTGTAGAAAAATTTATATTAAAATCAGAGAACTCAAGGTCATTTTTCACCTGTTTTTGTCCGGTTTGACGTGGAATGAAAACTATGAAAACTATAAAGAGTATATTAAAATGTAACTTTAAATTTATATTTTGGTCTAATATGCTTAACTTTTTTTAATCAAATTAAAATTTTGAGGTTAAAATTAAAATTTTGTATTTTAGAAGTTGTACTTAAAAGTGAGTTAAAGAAATGCTATTGTTTAATAAAATAAATAAATAAAAAATAAATAAATATAGGTTTATAATTTTATTCAACTAGGTATATAGAATCCTATCCAATTTAGTACTTACTACAATTGTATAAAGGTATATACATTTTTATAGAAATATATACAATTGCATACAATTCTAGACTCTTATGTAAACGTAAAATTGTATACAATTAAATGTAATTTTTCATCTATTTTGCGTATAATGTCTTCATTATAACACGCAATTAAACTGTTTTTTTTACTGTTCAAGCAAATTTTCTTTGTTGTTAAGTGACAGATGTCGAGCTGACATCAGGTACTAAAAACTGCAAAATAAATCCCTAAATCGCATTATGAATTAAAATTAAACATTTTTTTAAATGTCTGCAAAATAGATAAAGTAGTATAAATAACTCATGTCATAAAACCTTTTCTCGAACTCGTCCATTACAAAAAAAATATACTATTATGATTCTATACAATCATATAGAACTGTATCGTCTTAATTTTTGTATCCAATTGGATACAGACTGTGTATATGATTGTATTGTAATCTTGATTTATCGTTAACTGAGTTTTATATTTACGTATTATTCGCAGATGACTGAACCAAAGTCTTATCCTTTTTTTGAGCAAGTGAAAAATAATTTGGGAATAATAATACCTGAAACTCTGAAAAACATTCTTATGTTCACGGGTTACGATAACTTTTACGCTTTAAAAAAGTTAGCAGATTCCGATATCAAGGCTATAGAACAGCAAGTTAGATTTGATTTGCCTGCTGTAATCGAAGAGAATGAGTTTCAAAATTATTATGGAATATATTATAAAAATCCTTCAGCATTTAAAATTTCAGCGGGTCATAGAAAAATTCTATTTCAAATTTCCGTGACAATGGAAGAAAAAACACCAAAGAAAATAAGATCAGTCGAAAAATCTATAGAAGAATCATCTAAAGATAAAGGAATATTAGTAAACTATGAAGAAGAAAGGGCGACAGTCTCTAACGCATTATTATCTTGGATAAAGAATAGGTCCAACCGGTGGATGAATTTTGAAGAAGCTTTGTTGGAGAAAATTAAAATCAATATTTACTTGGATGACAATGATCGACTAATAGGAAAATTCACATGCTTCTGTGATAGTCGCACCTCTACTTATACGATTTCAAAAGTGGCGAAAAAGATAGGAAATAAAAAGCGATGGCTCTACTCAAATGTATACAAGCATTTTAATTCAAAACACATGTCGCCGTGTGAAGAAAAAGAAAATAATGAAGTAAGGAACCAAATTAATTGTATTAGTATTTTAGATTGATTATATTGTAGGTAAAGAAAAATGTACAGAAAAATACGTTATTCAAGTATATAGATAGAAATATATCGGACTCTACGGCGAGCACTTCGGCAGGAACGAGTAACTTACTGCACAGTTCTAATAGTGATGAAATTGAGAATGGAAAAGGAGAAGATGCCAGTATTATTAATCAACAGGACAGTTCTCAAGATTCAAAAACTAGTTCAAAAATAAACGTTATATAAACAATCACCCTCCCTGGTAGTTGGAAAAAACCACAAAAAATGAATGTAAGTAAAATTATATTTATATTAACTGCTTAACTTAACATTATATTTTTTCTTTTAAGAATCAATTATGGACTTCTCGCTCGACTCTAATGAAATAATCCAGGAAACTCTTCCAATTGTAGATGAAATTCGTGAAGAAAATTTGAAAGATATTTCAAAACTATCACAATAAAAAAATGGTAACGATACAACAAACATTAAAGAAGACATCGGAGTGCCATCAAAAAACTCAGTGGATAATTCACAACCAGAAAAATTGTACACAAAAGAAAAAGGTAATAAAAAAAAATATGAAAGAAGAAAATATTTACGAGAAAAAAGTGCTCTAGAAAATCAAACTTTTATCACATATTATTTTATTAAGGACATTTCAAATTTTATTGATAAAAACCCAGAGGTAGAAAAGAATTTAGAAAAGAATTTTAATTATGATTCCTCAAACAACAATAAACTCTTAGACATTTTACTAGAAATTTCCAAGAAAAACTCTGCTGTCAAACATAAAAACAAATATTCATATAGTGACACTATTAAACAGTTTGCATTATATTTGTATTATGTTGGTGGAAAACTACTGTACGAGACTCTATATTCAAACTTGAGTGGTATATTGCCTAATATTTCAAGTCTTCATAGATTTGTAGATAACAAAAATAATAGAATTGAAGAAGGTCATTTAGATTTTGAGGAACTGTCTAACTTTTTAGATGAAAGAAATAGTATGGTTAGCCGAAGACGCTACCAGAATTACAGGGAAAATCGAGTACGATCCTATAACAAATCGTGTTTTGGGCTTTACTCTTCCGTTAAAAAATGGTCTACCTGATAAAACAGCCTTCTACAGAAGAAAAAATTAGAAGCTACTTTAAGGCGGGTAAGAAAGCAAATTATGTATATGTATTGATGGCACATTCGTTGCACCAAAATGCACCTCATTTTTGCATTTGCGTTTTCGGTACTAATAATTGTTTTACCTACAAAGATGTGATAATGAGGTGGAAATATATGATAAAGTGTGCTGCACAACATAACATAAGGATATTGGGCATATCATCAGATGGTAATACTCGTCTGTTAAAGGCAATGCGAATAGAGAGTTCTCTTGGCTGTTCGCAACCAGAGGTCTTACCAGATTGGAATTGGTTTCACATGAAACTTGACAGTCTTACTTGTTTCGTACAAGATACTATCCACATCGGTACCAAGCTAAGGACCCGTATGGTAAAACCATCAATTATCCTTCCTGTTGGAATTTTTTTATATCTGTAGAACATCTTTAAGCACTTGTAGATAATTATCCCAAAGATTTGCATATGCTTACTTTGGGTGATATCAAGCCGGTAGATAAAATGAATTTTAATTCTGTCGAGAAGATTTGCTCTGCCAAGGTTATAGATATGTTAAAGATCAATGTACCACTAAGTGAGGGATCGGCAACTTTTTTGAAGATTATGCGGATGATTCTTGATTCTTTTTTAGATAAAAAAATGAATGTCCAAACACGACTTTACAATATGTGGTATGCTGTATTTTTTTTAGAGTTTGGCGCCACTGGATTAGAAATCATCCTGCATATAAAATAAAGGATAATTTTATAACCGATAACTGTTATGTATCAATAGAATTAAATGCCCACAATTTTATAAAAGTCCTGCAGATATTTCAAAAAGAACAGCTTGATAACAAAATGTTTATGCCTTGGGTTTATGGTAGCCAAAGTTGCGAAAAACTATTTAGAGTAGCTCGTTCTATGACATCTACATTCTCAACAGTTATTAATTTTAGTCTTAAAGACATTGTATATCGAATAACTAGAATGAAAACTATAAACAATATTATACATGACATGCAAGATAGGTTTGTGTTTCCCAGAGAAGAAAAAAATAGATTAGGAAAAAATGTTCAGATTAAAACTGAATATATGGATGAGAGTAAAATAAAGAATACGGTTGAAACAGCATTAAAAGATGTATTGTTACAATGTGACATGCTGGGCTTACCATATAGTTACGAGTCTTGGAGTGAAATTCAAATAAAATTTCAAGATTCTAAACAGCTTGAGGAGCAACTTGAAATGAACGAAGAAGAACTACCAATCGTAGAAATAAGCACCGAGGTGAATATATACGAAAAGGAAGTTCTTAGTAATGAGGCCCATATGTATGAGATGCGAGATGAAGTGGTTCAGGAAGGTCGAGAAGGAAATAATCAATGTTGTAGCAATATAGACTCCTCAACAATGGATATCAGCATAACTGCTACTAATTTTGATTCTAATAATAAACAGCAGTTTGTTGCACTCAATGGGGATGAACTAATAATAAAATCAATCCTATGCTGGCTTTTGGATGAATCAAATGGGAAAGTCAGTAATCACCGCTTAAAAAGATTTATTATTAAAACTCCAAAAAGAAAAACAGAGAAAAGGACAGGAAGAGTCAGAACGAATGTCAAAAGTAATAAAAGGCCTCGACTACTGAGTGGTAACGAAATTCCAGATGAAACCTCTGATGAAACCTTGGATGAAAAAGATCTAGAATTAAACGATGAAACCGAAGATGAAACTGATTTTTGTGAGGAATTCGGTGAGCAAATGGTTGAAGACGACAATAAAGCTTTACCTGAAATCGAAATAAGAAAATTTTATGCTACATTTTATGACAACAAATGGTACATAGGAAAAGTACTGAAAGTCATTAAAGAAAACGTATATTCCATGCAATTTTTAGAAGAAAGCAAAGAAGATGGCTCTTTCAACTGGCACAAAGCTAGTGACCTAGATGAGAATGTAAGCAAAGAATACATATTTTTTGGACCAATTAATTTTATAGGCAATACTCCTTACACATTAAAAAGATCAGTAAAAGCATCCATAACCAAACAATACAATAAACAAAGGTTTTTATAAAATTACTTTTTTGATTTTTTTTACATTTTTATGTTTTGGTAAAAGGTATATCTTTATTTTTATGTTTTAATAAAAGCTTAACTTCAAAATTTTGCTTAATTAAACAGACATTTGTTTTCACATTTCTTGTTTTGTAGAGTATATTGTTTATTTATATTAATAAAAAAATTTCCTTTTTCTGTTATTTTAATATCCCAAAATTAAATAAAAGAAACCTATCTTTGATATCAGCAATACATTGATTATATATTTTTTAAATCAAATGTAAATAGGCAGATCTATTGTGGGAAATCTATTGGGAAATATAAATTTATTGGAAAGTAGAAGGAAATTCAGAAGAAGCCCGAGGAAGCCCACTGGAATTCTTAGGAAATTCGTAGAAAGTAAGGGAAGTTTGGGAAAGTCAGGGAAATTTAGGGAAGTTCCTTAGGACTTCCCCCTCAGAGGGAAGTTTTGTACGTTTTTTGACCTGCAAACCGCCCCTCGGCGTATATTAAGCAGGGCATATTCAGAAATGAAGGTATATTGTTGACAAAAATTTAAAAAAGCAGGATCAATAGCAATAGATCCTTGCGGAACACCAGATAAAGCTTTTTGGGAAAGCCAAAATACTCAAGTTTATTTAATAAAGTTTTGTGATCAAGCTTATCAAACGCTTTAGAAAAATCTGTATAGATGACGTATACCTGACCTTGTGAATCTATCTTCTGACATAAATTGGGTAATGCAGAACAGATTTGTAGTCGTTCATCTACCTTAAACAAAACAGTGTTGGTAGATAGATCTGTAACTTATTCTTAACGTTTCTAAAAAATAACATCTTGCAAAATTGCAAATAATAGCAATGAATCGGTAGTTTGAGATAATAGTTTTAAGATAGGAGAGACTCTGGAGGATTTCCAAAGTAACGGAAAGGTGTTAGAAGCTAAAGAAAAGTTAAAAAGCTTTAATAATAATAATAATAATAATAATAATAATAACTTTATTTAGCAATAGCTATTTACATTCACAAGTTATAAAACAAAACAAAATTCACTCTTAAAAACTAGTTTTAACATAGTGTATACATAAATGTTTAAAGATTGGTAAGTTATTACAGTTTTTAATATCATCAGATAAATTATTATACAGACTAAAACCTTTAAAAAACACACTGTTAAAAGTTCTAGTAGTGTTACAGGTTTTCATATAAAAATCATTTCTGTTTCTAGTATCATGATTATGAACTTCACAAGCATATGTTACATTTTCTAAAAGATAATTTGGCAACAGTTTATTTTTTATTTTGTGTATAAATTCTAATGTTTTAAAAACAATTTTTTGTTTAACAGACATAAAATTAAGAACATTTAACATGGTTACAATAGGTGTATATCTATTACAACATAAAACAACACGCATAGCTCGATTTTGTATTTTATTTATGTCACCTTGGTTTAAGTTAAATAATATTGTAGAGCAAAATTCTAAATGAGGTAAAATTATTGACCTGAAATTAAAATTTTTACATACATACTTAAATATTTTCCAACTCTATTTAAAAAGTAAACTTTTTTTGACATTTTATTCATTAAATAAATTGCGTGATTCCTAAATGATAACGTTTCATCAAAAATTATACCTAAATATTTTATTTCTGTTACTCTTAAGTCTTATTCTATTAATAAAGACATTTAAAGGAGCATTTAACAAATTGAGCCTATTTTTGAGCCAAACACGATAAACTTACTCTTTTTTACATTTATACATAAATCATTATCACAGAGCCATCTATATATATGATCTAAATCATTATTAATATATTGTAACATGTGTAAAACATCTTTTCCACATATATACAACATAGTATCATCTGCAAACATGCATATTTCACATTTTTTTACAACTTTTACAATATTATTAATATATAAAATAAAAAGAATAGGACCTAACACTGTACCTTGTGGGACACTATGGTTATTTATGATTTCAGTTGATTGACAATTGTTATATTTAACATTTTGAGTCCTACCGGTAAGGTATGATTCAAACCACTTTAATACAGTCCCACCAAGACCAATCTTATTCAGTTTTCTTAGCAAAAAATCTCTGTTTATTATTTCAAAGGCTCTACGAAAATCTAGAAATACTGCTATAACATATTCACCTTTGTCAAGGGCCTTAAGCCAAACATCACTTACATTTATTATCACAGCCTCACAGGAATGTTTATATCCAAATCCAGATTGGTTTGTACTATCACAGAATTGTTATCACAGTATTTAAGTAGCTGATCCTTTACGGCTAGTTCTAAAATCTTCTCATATGGGGGGACAGTGTTTATTGGACGAAATTCTTCACAATTTATAGTATTTGGAACTTTTGGGACAGGTACTATTGTAGAGGTTTTCCAATTACTTGGAACTATTCCATCATTTAACGAATTATTTATAACGTCTAGAAAACAATTGCCAATCACTTTGAAACTATTTAATAGTACATTTGTTGAAATACCGGTTTTTAAGTTATTGGATTTTTTTAATGTTTTTATATGTTTTTTTAATGTATGTGTTACCGGCAATGTAAAAAATCCGGTAATGTGCGAAATGTCTAGACATTCTGCAAACTGACCAATTTACCAGACATTGTGCAAAATCACTACCATTTTGGGCAATCTGCAAATTTACTACGCTATTTAAGGCAATCTGCAAAATGTCTGATGCGATAGTCAATCTGGGGATTAAAGGTTTTTAATTCTCACATTGACTAGGCAGTGTGCGCAACACTAATTTACGATAGAAATGTAAAATTGAAAAACTGAATTTTGTTTTTAGAAAAGAAAAACTACAAATAAAAATTAAATTAACAAGCACTTATTATTTATATAATAGTACAACAAAATATGGTAAAATAAAACATAATAACTACATATAACACATATTAAAATACATAAATACACAAATGTAAAACGGGCTTAATAAAACGTAACACAGTGACTAGAGGAACACTAACGTGCCGCGATTGAAAATGTTAAAGGCAAGTTAGTTACGTCATAATTATAATTCGTTTTTGTTCCCCGAGCGTTTAATATTTGACATCAAGCTAGATAGCTCATATGGTAGGGCGGTCGCTTGGGATGCGAGAGGTCCCGGGTTCGATACTAAGAAGTTGTCGAACTTTTTTTATTTTTTTATTTCATAAATTTGTTTTTTTTTTTTAAGTTTTATTGGCTTTTAGGCTTTTTCAGCCTATTTAGCCAGCACATTATATGTATTTTTGTCTTAATAAACAATCACAACACCCAGGGCTGTGACCAGGAATCGAACCCGGTACCGTTAGACGCAGATTGCACAGCTTTGTAGCCTAACCCACTGCGCCATCCTCGGACCCCATAAATTTGTTGTTTCTTTGTTAAACAGTGTTCGGTTGGGTTGGGTTGGTTGGTTTGTTTTAGTTTTATCGTAACATAAAATCTACTAGAAGTTGTCGAACTTTTTTTATTTCATAAATTTGTTGTTCCTTTATTAAAAAGTGTTTTATTTTAAAAAAATTTGCCCATTTTAGTTGGGTTTTTTGCTTAATGGGGCGGGGGGGGGCCCAATGGGGCGGGGTCGGTTGGGTTGTGTTGTTGAGTTTGGGTTGGTTTGGGTTTATGACGTAACTAACGTGCCTTTAACATTTCGAATCGCGGCACGTTAGCAAAAACGTAAATATAAACCTAACCTAAATTTGTACATACCGTTTTTTTAATCTGTAATACTTGCTATTATCATCGACTTGTACTTCCTTCAGAATATTAATAATGTTCTCTCTTTCGTCAAATGATAGAAACACATTGTTATAATTTTTTTTACTGCATAAATTATACAATTTCTCTAAAAATATTTCTTTCTTCCCACTCGCCATTATGAATCTCTGACTGAATAGCGAAGTTTGACAGAAGTAAAAGTATTGCGCACACTGCGTAGTCAATGTGAGAATTAAAAACCTTTAATCCCCAGATTGACTATCGCATCAGACATTTTGCAGATTGCCTAAAATAGCGTAGTAAATTTGCAGATTGCCCAAAATGGTAGTGATTTTGCACAATGTCTGGTAAATTGGTCAGTTTGCAGAGTATCTAGACATTTCGCACATTGCCGGATTTTTCACATTGCCGGTAACAAATGCATATCCAAATTTTCAAATTTCTCAAATTTTTCATGTGTATCTATGTTATGAAGAATGTTTACATGATCATCAAACTTATTAATTTTCTTTATTATATCTTTTATACTTTCAACAAAAAAACTATTGAATTTATCAGGAATATTTGGACCAGATACTATATTATTTTCAAATTTAATTTCATCAGGTAGAGAACTTTCCATTTTATTTGGTAATAAGAGTTTTAGATCTTTCCATAATTTTCCACTGTTTTTTTTTATTTGAGTCTAGTACATCATGAAAGTATTTATTTTTTTCAATTTTTATATTTTTTACAACTTCATTTCTGGCTATTTTGTATTGTAACCAGTCATATTCAGTATTGATTTTCATTGATTTGAAGGGGAGCCCTTGCAGGCAGCACTTAGGCACACATAAGGCCCATTGTACAAACCCCCTTTTTGGTGAAGCTCTGCCTTACCTTAAGAGCCCGCAGCTTTTAAGAAAAGCGCAGACCCGCTCTGGTCGGGCATGCAATATTTCCTCTGGTTCCAAGTATCTGTCCCCTAGGTGTCTTAGTCTACTATTGACTGGAGCGTCGCATTCGCAGACTATATGCTCGGTAGTTTCGTCTACTTCGCTGCAGTACCTACAGTCCGACTCGTTGCTGAGTCCGGTTTTGTGTAGGTGGTATTTGACTACCCAGTGTCCTGTTAGGACACCTGTGATGATTCTTAACTGGTTCCTGTTAAGTTTCAGGAATCTTTTTGCCTCTTTGCCGGTAGTAGGACTCTTTATAAAGGCCCTTGACTGCCTGAGGCCTTGTTGTTCACGCCATTTTTTCTGGAACTGGTCGTTAGTCCAGTTCCTGATCA